GGCCAAAGTATTGGAGCCTCAGCTTCAGGATCTGTCCTTCCAGTGAGCACTCAGGGCTGATTTCCTTAAGAATGGATAGGTTTGATCTTCTTGCAGTCCATGGGACTCTCAAGAGTCTCTCCAGCACCATAATTTAAGTCATTCCACACACACACACACACACACACACACACACACATATATATATATATAGAATCTAAAGTCAGATTTTGAACTGACTCCTATGACTACTTTTTCAATGGAAAAAAACATAGTTTCACAGAATAAATTCAACATACACTTTACTCTCAAAGGAAGTGCCAGTCAACCTGTTTGTGGTTTCAATACCTACTGAAGACATTACTGAGACCAGTCTTTGCACAGGGACCATCCTAAGCTGTGTCTATTGCCAATTTTATGAAGCAGCAGAACTGTATTGGATATTGTTTTTAGAAGTCGGTACCCTTGTTTTATATGCTGTGATTTGGTATAATATTGTCTTGTGTGTCGTTAAAAAAATTGAATAGGAAATCATGAATAAATTCTTCAAATAAATAACAGAATTTGCTATTGGGAGATGAAACTGACAAAGGGATTCAGCAAACGTAGCCTGAAGACCAGTTGGCCCTGTGCATTTCCTAATATTTGCACAAAAAACCCCACTAGTGTTATGGTGGCAACGTGACATTAGCATGGGAGAGGGGACAAATGTAATTTAACAGTGACATCCCAGGTACTATCCAATAGGTTCTAGAAATGTTATGCATCTACATTCTAGACGGCACTCTGAAACACAAGGTAAGCTTGGGTGAAAATGGCATGCTGTGATCTGAGTGTTAGGGAAATACAATGTTTTTGGGACAGAAAGGCCTCCTTGAATAGATGGCTCTCACGAACAAAATAAGAGGTTCTAGTTGCACCACAAAGTGATTATCTGGCAAGATCCCCCTGGAATAAGGAGAGAGAGAGCTCTGCACAGAAACTACCCCCAAGTCACCAAGGAACAAAACAGAAGTGATAACATTGTACAGGAAGTAGCCAAAGAAGTCCTACGACTTTAAGAAACGTCCACAAGAAGCTTCCTGTTCATTGCACAAGCGCAGTATCACAATGAAAAGCCGTTACGTGCTGCCCTGTGCACAAGGCAATATGGCATTTGCTTAAACCATCACAAGTGAATCCATTTCACCACCCTGCATGATTATCTATTGCAAGCAGACAAATATTTAGCCTACATTATTCGCTCACGGCAAACATCTGCTCTGAAAATCATCCTGGAATTTGTTTAGCATGCATTTAACTGGAGCCATGGGGCACCCACAAACTTTCAATGAAGGGGCAGGGAGGCCCCCAAGTTCAAATTGGTGGTGCACGTATGTCTCACAGTGTGCTTGTGTCACACGCGCATGCTGCGAGGCATCTGCACAACACATAGCACAGGCATGCCACTGTGATGTTGCGCAGTCCCGGGCCCCCTCTGTCATGGGGGCAAGACAGTGTGCCTGCCAGCCTGGGGGTATCTCACTACTTTGAAGCAGTTGTTTCCAGGGGAGGGGATGAAAGAGAACAAAAGTGTTATAGAACAGACATCAAACTTAACATGACAATTGTCCTGGGTTGGTGATCCTGGTCTGCAGTTTTGTGCTCCCTTTTTCTCCAGACTCCTCTGTGCCTTATAGCCAGTAGAAAATATTAGCAACATGCAGCCGACTTACTGAATGAGGAGCCTTTTGTGCACTAATGCCCATTTACTCTGGGTGATTGGTCTATGCACAGTGCCCAGTTTATGAATGCCCTTTTTAAAACCTCTGTAGAGGTGACAAGCAGGTGTTCCTGCTGCTGCTGGGTTGTTCTTTTTATCGGGCCAATTGCTGATTAATAGTTCAGGATGGTTAGTTAATGTTTCCTCAGTGGGAGTTAATGGTTGGGATTTGGTCACCTGGACTCTCCTAAGCATTTTGAATGGTCAAGATAAGTGCCCTGGAGCCAGGAGAAAGTGACAGGTCTCCAGATAATGGCAGAATGGCATCAGGAGAAGCAGTAGGCGGCTGTTTGTTGTTGGTTGTTTTTTTTTAAGTAAGAGACTACAGAATTGAAAGTTCTACCCAGAGTTAGATGGAAGGAACTGACAATGAAGCCTGGAGTTTTCCGAAGATCTGCTATAAGAATAGGTAAAGGGTAAAGGGACCCCTGACCATTAGGTCCAGTTGTGACCGACTCTGGGTTGCGGCGCTCATCTCGCTTTATTAGCCGAGGGAGCTGGCGTACAGCTTCCGGGTCATGTGGCCAGCATGACTAAGCCGCTTCTGGCAAACCAGAGCAGCACATGGAAACGCCGTTTACCTTCCAGCTGGAGCGGTACCTATTGATCTACTTGCACTTTGAAGTGCTTTCGAACTGCTAGGTGGGCAGGAGCAGGGACTGAGCAACGGGAGCTCACCCCGTCATGGGGATTTGAACCGCCGACCTTCTGATCAGCAAGTCCTAGGCTCTGTGGTTTAAGTCACAGTGCCACCCGCGTCCCAAGAATACTTGTTTGCTTTTTAGGTGGTCTCATCTAGTTTACAAATAACACTAAACCATGTTTTGCTTTGGCAAAGCTTAGTTTGTCAGAATGTCAGAAGCCAGACCAGCAGAATAACTATGGGGGGGGGAGTTTCTGCAGTGGTGAAGGAACCCTCTCCAGCACCCGAGCGGCGCAGCCGGTGCGGCATCCCACACGTGCGCACTCCATACAGAATGCCACACATGCGCAGTCCGTAGGGGCTGCTGCTTGCATGGCGTCCATAAGGGCCGCCGAGCACGAGCGGCATCCCATATGGACTGCGCATGTGCGACGACTGTATGGGATGCTGCACATGCGCAGTCTGTACGGGATGCCATTTGCACAGCAACCGTACAGGCCGCTACGTGAGCAGCATCCCGTAAGGACGGCATGCGAGAGTGGCAGCCCATATGGATGCCATGCGAGCGGCACCCATACGGACTGCGCGTGCCCTCAGCCGCTCTACAAATGGGGGGAGGCAGGGCCATCTTGTCACCCCTCCCACAGTGACACCCGGGGCGGCCCGCCCCCTCTGCCTGCCCCTCCTACGCCCCTGGGTTTCTGGCAAAAAACACTAAGTGAAACCATGATCTGTTGTTTGCTTATGAACTGTGGCTTGCTTGAACTATGGTTTGGCATTATGTCTAAACTCATTAGCCTTGCTCAACTATGGTTCTTTTGGAGACTTTGCCCCAGAGACCTGCCAAGGCACAAGGAAAGAGGAGATGAAAACCTAAACAAGCTTTGGTGGGGGTTGTTTGTTTGTCTGTAAGACAAGCCATGGCTTGTTGAATCAATTGTGGTTAAATAAACCATGGCTTAGTGTTATGGGCAAACACAGCCCTTGTCTGTATATTTGCAAATAAAACAAATATTACAAAGGTACTATAGATTCCCTGTCTTTCATCCAAAGAAAATAAAATTCAGTGCCCCTGGGATTTCTTATTCCTCAACTGCAACAGTGGCAAAGTTAAGTGGTCAGCCATTTGGAAACGTAATAAACCCACTTCTGCAAACATAGGATCTAGTTATCATTCAGCACTACTTCTAAAAGGAGACATTCAGAGACACTTGTGCATTGAATGAACACACACACAAATTTTTGCAACATGTGTTAACTTGCTCACCAGTGCTAGGGTTCCTGTTTTATCAACACAGCTGGGTTTATCCCACAAACTGTCATTGTTACATGCGTAATTATCATAATCTGTTCTTTTCTGCATTTCCTTTCCTTCTGACTGCGTTGTTCACAATCCCCTGCCCCAAACCATGTATATATAGCCTGCAAGTCAGGATAACACTGGATGAATCTGATGAGGTGGACTGCAGCCTACAAAAGCTTGTGCCAAATTTGCTGCCCTTTAAGGTGCCATAAGGCCTTTCATTGCTTTTATTTTATTTTATTGCTGCAAGAGGCTAATACAGCTATTTCTCTGGTGGGGAAATGGATTAAGCTCTGCAAGGAGAGGCTGTGTACACATTGACAACTTAAAACACAGCTGGGTCATTCTTTTTCTCAAAAGCTAACTTGGGGAGAAATGCAGTATCAAAATGGAGCATTTGCTAAGAAGTGACATACAGTGGTACCTCAGATTACATACGCTTCAGGTTACATACACTTCAGGTTACAGACTCCGCTAACCCAGAAATATTACCTCGGGTTAAGTACTTTGCTTCAGGATGAGAGCAAAAATCGTGCTCCGGCAGCACAGCAGCAGCAGGAGGCCCCATTAGCTAAAGTGGTGCTTCAGGTTAAAAACAGTTTCAGGTTAAATACGGACCTCCAGAACGAATTAAGTACTTAACCTGAGGTACCACTGTATTAGATACAGGATATATAGGGATTATGCCTAACATGTGTACACTTTTCCCAGTTTATAGATAACTGAACACAACAGGAACAATTTAACCAAACACCAGCACTTTCTACCTTAATTTCAATATATGTGCTGTGATCCAGAATTAGTCTTATTAGTTATTACATTTATACCCCACCTTTCCTCCAAGGAGCTCAAGGTTGGGCACATAGTTCTCCCCGTCCCCATTTCATCTTCACAACATCCCTGTGAGGAAGGTTAGGCAGAGAGTGAGTGACTGGCCCAATGAGCTTCACGGCTAAGTGCGGGTTTTAACCCTGCTGTCCCAGATCCTAGTCAAACCTTCTAACCACTCCACACTTGCCTAGGAATAAGTCACACTGAAAATAATGGGACTTAATTCTGATCATATATGATTGCACTGTAAATCTCACCGCTTTTTTTGTAAAACCTTGTTGATTTAAACTGCTTAATTTTGTCTCCTTCAATCAGTCGCATGCATTGTCTAACCAAAGGAAAAGAGGAAGTAGTACTGATCTTTGAAAAATAAAAGTAACATTATTGTGAATGCATCATAACTCTTAGCCTACTATATCACACAGGAGGTAAATACCAGAATAGCATTTCATTGAAAATTTAGAGGAGCAAGTTGCACATACCCGGGAGTCAGGAATTCAAGAGACCCCCCTCCAGCGCTGTCCCTTTCTCTACCTTCTCAGAAGAGACAGGAAACTCTTCTTACTCAAATTGGTTGCAATGAAAGATTACCCAAGAGGAAACTGGTGGAAAAGTCATGAGCAGGCAAACCAAAGAGAATAAGCTGGCTGGCATAACAATTTCCAGTTGAGACCAAACTGCTTTTGGAGTTGAAGAGAGGGGGCATAATAATTTTGCTCAGACAAGATTAAGCAGAAGCAGTCAGGTTCCCTAATTCTTAACCTACGTAGCCAAGAAACATATTGAGCATGTGAATTGTGTGGCCATGTTCACTGTACAGGCTAACATAACTGTGGACACACAGGAAATGCAGTTGTATTTAATGATGCAACCCAGAGCTATCTCTTTTAACTCCTCCTTTATCCCCTGTGTCAGTGTACTTCAACCTGACCATTGGTGGAACTGGCTGGGGATGATGGGAGTTGTAGTCCAGCAACATCTGGGGAGTTCAAGGTTGAAGAACACTGCTAGTGTGCACCACTAAAATTAGGGCTGCTTTTTCAAGTCCATGTGAATTTGGATTGGGACCTCTGCCCCACTCGCCATCAATTGGCAAGAACTTCTGTCTTGTCCAACATCTTACATTGCATCTCTTGCACTCTTCTCCTTCTCCACACCGTCCAGCTATTTCATGTACTTACAAGCTTCCTGTCACCTGTCATTATCATCCACACATGACATCCAACTATCATGATAGTGTCACAACCGGAAAGCAAACTAAGCTAGTGTGTGGTTCGCACAGCACTTTGCAGGGCACCCTGCCACCCTGTAAGCAAACCTTTTAAAAAAAAGTTAAAGAAACAGGAAATTGAGGGAATGGCACAAAAGACACAGAGCCCCTGAGCCACACTCCTGATTTAAACAGAGCTGACTGGTTGCTTTTCTTAAGTCACTGACTCCACTGCAATACATTTAGAAGAGAAACCACTAAAGCAGCCAAGGTCAGCCTCCTCGATTTCCCACTGCTTTTCAATGATAATTATTTCCATAGAGACAAGTTTTATGTTTCTTCTTTTTTTAAAAAAAACACAACAACAACCAGCAACACTTAACTCCTCTGCTTTATTCCACTCTTTCGGCACCCGCTAAAAACATTCTTGTTCAGACAAGCCTACTCAGATGCTTAGAAAGTTGAGGTAATTTTAATCTGTTTTAGTATTTTGAGTTCCGTATGTTTGTGATTTCCCCCCTTGGTTTTCTTGTTTTTGTAATGTTATCTTTTTGCAAGTCGCTTTGCGGGGGGGGGGGGTTATATGATCAGACGGTGTATAAATTTTACGAAAATAAATAAATAAAAGCGTTTGAGTGCAGCAATCTAAGTGGTTACCGTGAGGAAAGATTGCATCATTTGGTACTTTTTGATTTATAAAAAAGGGGCGGGGAGTAAGAGGCAACAGGATAGAAGTTCATAAAATTATGCATGAAGTGCAGAGAGAGAAGTTTTTGTCCCTCTCTCATAACACTGATGCCAAAATGTCTTGGGCCAGCCCTGAGGGCAGCACACATAGGTAGCCCTCAGTAAGTCAGGTTTGTGATCCCAATTATCCTGAAAGTGCAATAAGAAAGGGATGTTGATGTTGAGATTTCATTCCTCCATTGCTGGATGCGTGATTGTTTTCATCACATGTCTGTGTTGACATTCCATACTATTGGAGTCATCAGAACGGAAGTTCAGTTATACTGTTCCGTTATGTTGTACTATTGCTTTTAGTCTGTTCTCTCTCGGAGAAGAAGAAAGAAAGAGGAGTCATGTTTCCTTTGTTCTGTAACACTTGTATATAATAAAGTAGCTCAGATACCTAGCTTCTGCTTGGACTCTGCTACAGTACAGTACTGTGTGCATATATCTTCGGATGTGTGTCGCAGAAGCACATCGGGAAAGAATCATCCCGAGGGTCACTTGTGGGGGAGAACGCAGCTGCCTGGCATTCTCTAGTTGGTGCAAGATGCCCAGCGTGGTTTAATGTACCAACAGTTGGGACGGGGCACCAAAGTACAAACAGGGCATTTGTTCAGCTGTTTCCTAAGGTCAAATGGCACAACTCTATCTTACTCATGAGAAGGGAGAAAGAGCTTCACTTCTACGCACCAATACTTCGTCACTGGCAATTGCTTATAGCCCTAAGCAACTACAATATAAGTCTACCCAATTCAACTCTAGTGTGATACCCACGCAAAGTGAACTTGGCGGATGACTCACCAAGGCCCATTGCTCTCAGTAGATCCTCTGTGTGTAATGATTCAGACAGAGCTAGCAGCTCACCCACACCCACACCCCTGGCCCGGGTCCCCTGTCAAACCCCTCAACACCAGTCACCCCACCTACAGCTGTGCTGCAAATAGAAGCCATCCACCCACCAGCCTAAAACCTTGTTTCCTCTATGTAAGGCAGGATTAGCACTCCTCCTCAACCCTCGGGCAGTTTATCTTCAGATTCATTTTTCCCCAGCATGAGATAAAGTCTGAAACAGATGTGACATGGGCTCCTGAATTTTTTTACTTAATTTAAAGCATCCACAGATATGGGAGGGTTTTGTTCTCAATTCATTGGAGGAAGAGCACTGGTGTGTTGTTTAACCCAATCTCCTGTGCCATTTTCCTGATCTAAATTACTTCCCAAGCTACTATTAGCCCTCCTGGGGGCGGGGGACAGGAGTACCTGTATCATAGAGGCGGGCAGCCATCAAGGTTATGGGAAATGATCTAGTGAGTTTGGCAGGGACATGGGTGGGCCTGTGGTCTAAACCGCTGAGCCTCTTGGGCTTGCCAATCAGAAGGTCGGCGGTTCGGATCCCCGCAACGGGTGAGCTCCCGTTGCTCTGTCCCAGCTCCTGCCAACCTAGCAACTTGAAAGCATGCCAGTGCAAGTAGATAAAAAGATACCACTGCGATGGGAAGGTAAACGGTTTACCTTACTAGGACCACCGAAGGGACGCGGGTGGGACTCTTGGGCTTGCCAATTGCTTCCATTGCTCGCTCCCAGCTCCTGCCAACCTAGCAGGAAAGTTCAAAAGCATGCCCAAAGGTGCAAGTTGTTAATAGGTACCACTCCGGCGGGAAGGTAAATGGCGTTTCCGTGCACTGCTCTGGTTTCGGTGTTCCGTTGCACCAGAAGCGGCTTAGTCATGCTGGCCACATGACCTGGAAAAACTGTCTGCAGACGAATGCTGGCTCCCTCAGCCTGTAAAGCAAGATGAGCTCCGCAGCCCCAGAGTTGTCTGCGACTGGACTTAACTGTCAGGGGTCCTTTACCTTTACCTTTAGAACCACCAAAGAAGGTCAAGTGGAAAAACTCAAGACAAGGGGAAGGCAACCTAAGGCCCAGGGGACAGATGCAGCCCAATCACCTTCTCAATCCAGCCCGCGGACAGTCAGGGAATCAGTGTATTTTTACATGAGTAGAATGTGTGCTTTTATTTAAAATGCATCTCTGGGTTATTTGTGGGGCATAGGAATCCGTTCATATTTTTTCCCCAAAATATAGTCCGACCCACCACATGGTCTGAGAGACGGTGGACCAGCCCACAGCTGAAAAAGTTTGCTGACCCCTGCTCAAGACAGACATTTAGAATTAAGGGCCAGGAATCCTATCAACCCATGAATTTGTTTTCAGTATAAGTAAAGAGTTTACTGCCATTTCAAAAAAGTTTCCTACTTTTCTCCCGACTCCTCCTTTAGAGTAGCCAATTTAAAAAGAACTTACAGATCAACCAAACAGATTTTTATCTACCTTCTTCCCACCCGCCACTGCATAATGCAGGCATAAACTTTTTTCCTCAGATCAGCTATTTTATTGTCAGTTTTTCTTATCCAACTAATTCTAGCTGTCCACACGTGATGTGTTCGTTTTCCAAAAAAACTTTGCCAGCAAGCAACATGGCAACATGCTTCAAAGAATCTTCTTCATAACTCTTAACCACACCTTAATCAATGTTAGCACACCTTATCTGAAATTCTTTGAGCACTCTAAAGCAATGGGTCCCAAACTCCCCCCCACCTCCCACCCCTTGTAAATTGCTGAGGCTCTTGGCAGACCACTTAAATTATTTTTCTACCTGTTGTAACAATTGTTCTAGGCTGTCCGAGGAGTTAAATGGTTTTTAATCATATTTTTACAGACACACAACAAACCACCTAAATTAAGCGCATGGACCACAGTTTGGGAACCCATGCTCAAAAGCAAAGAATGCAAGGTTTGCCTAATTAGAAATATTCATTCCAATTCAAGGACTTGCAATATTGCAGCTATCTCTGTAGCGATATATAAAATTATATAAGTCAGAAATAAAAGGCCAACTCTGTCCTTTATTTTGTAATTTTTAGTCTGGAAGATCTTGCACAACACTAATGCTCATTGAATGATTAAGCAAGCAATTTTTAAAAAGTCATTAATTAGATTTTATTATAGACAGACAGACAGATTAGTTTTCAATAACTGCCCTGGTGCATCTGTTCAGGAGCTACTCTTAGTGCTATTTTCTCTTGCTAGTTTCCACATGGTGGCAGTATCTATTTCTTTACTTTTGCTATTTCATTAGATTTCATGGTTGGTTAGGATAATTAACAATAGATGTACCACTGGAGTTCAAAAAGCAGCAACATATCTACAGTGTAATGCCAAACATTTGAATCACTCGTTTCCTGAAATGTTTGTTTAACATCATAGCATTAGTATATGTAGTTGAAATTTTTTTACACAGAGAAAACAGTGAACACAGTCCTACTGATTTGAAGGGGAAATATTTAGACCTCAATTCTGTATGTACCATTGTGCTCAATGGGGCTTACTGCTGAGTAAGTCTATCTGCTCAGAATTAAACCTCATTAGGTTCGATGGAACTTATTCCCAGGCAAGGGTGTAAAGGATTGCAATTTAGGGCATTTGTGTTTCTACCCCTATATCTCAAGGGAAGGGTTTGCAAGAGGCCTACAATTTTGTTGTCAAAGACTTCTCTATGATAAGAGTTTTATAGTGATTATTAATGGTTGGAAGGAAAATGTAGGTGGTTTATAGACCTT